TAACCACCATGTGATAAGGAACTTGTACAGGCGGTTCTTATGATAATCAGCAAACCCGACAAGCTGTGCTGAATACTGCAGAGGTTGTGTATCAGGTAATACAAAGCAGGAAGTATGATGAAATTCACACTGTTTGTGTGTTGACCTTGCCGTCATAGACTTTCAGGTCTTTGTTCAAAATGTTTCCTTTTTTATACTGTTTTGTTGGAAATCTTCCAAGTTGGCACATCCAGAGCTCTTGAAACTAAACTCCTGAAACAAAAATCGCCCATCAGTCATGGGCTAGAGATGAGATATAGTCCACAAAGCTAACTTTTCTAAGCTTTTGTCTAACTATAGATTTATTTTGAATTTTTATCCAGCTGATCCTATTTCATGTATTTATGGTAAGGAATTATCTACTGTGTCTCATCATCCCCTCAGTGTTTACTGTATATATTTTTCCATTTTTTAAAAAAACTTACTCTACATGAAATATATGTTTTCAACTAAATTAGTTTTAAAGTGCCTCCAAAATTATTAAACAAGAAAGGAAGGCTAGATATTTAACACTGCTGCTAAATTTCAAAGCTACATAGATGTTTGTGTGGCTTATTCTTTATTGTTTAAGAGTCAGATAACTTGAGGCCCCAAAAAAGATTGATTTGAAAAAGGAGTAAAATGTTATTTAATGTTAAAAATGATTAGAATCATAAAAACAAACATGAAATCAGGACACATGTTTTGTGTTCAGTGGCTTTTGGGAACGGGGTACCTTTATCTGTTCCTCTTTCACTGTTATCTATGCCATCTTTTGCCAGCAATGCCACTCTGTAGTCTATATAGGATAAATAGGACAACCTCTGCACAAAAGAATTAATGGACACAAATTAAACATCAGGAATGCAATACACAGAAACCTGTTTTTAATCATTTTAATTTACTTGGACACTCTGCACAAAGTTGCCATTCTATTGAAAAAAAATACAGGACAAAATCCGGAGAGAGACAGCTGAAATAAAATATATACATATGTTTAAAACCCAGCTCAGTGGAATCAATATAAGCCAAGGCTTCTTGGGACACTATCAAATGTAAAATATTATGTTATACAGTGGTGCCTCGCTAGACGACTTGCCATTCTATCGAAAAAAAAATACAGGACAAGAATCCAGAGAGAGACAGCTGAGATAAAATATATACATATGTTTAAAACCCAGCTCAGTGGAATCAATATAAGCCAAGGCTTCTTGGGACACTATCAAATGTAAAATATTATGTTATACAGTGGTGCCTCGCTAGACGATGATAATCTGTTCCACTGAAATCGCTGTTTAGCGAAATCGTTGTCTAGCGAAAATCGGTTTGTGAAGCAGGGACCAAACATTGTCCAGCGAAATTCCCCCATAGGAATCACTGTTTTGCGAATTACTATAGCGATCGCAAAAAGTCAATGTCTAGCGAAAAACTGTCATGCGGGGTAACTGTCTAGCAAGGCACCACTGTATCTGCTGTTTATACCTTAATGAGATTACTGAAGAAAGTCAGACCATCAGCAAGCTTTTGTAGATCATGGCCACTTCTTCAGGCCATGCACTGATATGTTGTGGATAGTGCAGAAAAATAATAAATGAATGTCCCAAAAATTCACAGCAGATGTTTGTGCCAGGTCTGCTTCTTAGAGGCAAGTTAGGAAAAAAAAAGTAGATCACACTGAAGGTGTGGTTTTCAAACAACACTCCTGGCTTATCAAACAAAGAATTTGCAAAAATCCTTATTATGTGGATTTTGGTTTCCCCTTAATTTGATTAGCCTGTTTTGCTGGCTTGTTAGAATTTAGGGTCAAACCATATTTTATACCATGACAGTAACTTAAAACAATAGCATTAGATGCAGTTGTGAGATGAGAAGTGGCTAATTGGATTGGAGAGGTATCATGATAGTGCAGGGATGTTTTCATTTAAGTGTATCCTATCTGAATTTTTCCATCTATGAAGCCAATAGCAGCTGAGTGGTAGGGAATTCAGATCAGAGGAACAGTGTAGAGAAGAAATGTTTAATGGCATCACCACCTCTGTACTACTTCCTCAATCAAAGTAGTACCCCAACTCCTCTGTGGCTGCCTTTAGTTAAGAGTAACACATTAAGTAATCAGAGGTGCATCTTTCAACATGTTGCTTAACCAAGGTGGCTAATTCATCATCTTACTGTCTCATTCTCATGCTTGACCCTCCAGATCTTCCTGTAACTTTCATGTTTTTTTTAGGGCTTGGCATGGTGAGTAAGAAGCTGAGCTGTCAACCAGAACTTTCAGGTTTAGAAGCTGACACTCTCATGAACTCATAAGGTGGCTTTAGGTAGGCTGCTATTCTTCACGGCCCTCTGTAGTACAGAGATAAGAATATTGGCCAAAGTTTTTACCTGCTGTGTTGACTGATGGATTCTGGGAATTGTGGTGCAAAACCATATCTTTTTCAAGTTCCACCTTACCAGGGGTTTTGCAAGCACATGGAATGTATTGCACATAAAGGCCCAGTGTCTGATTGCTTAAATGTGAAGCAGAAGAGCAGTTGCATGATTGTCCCTGCCCCCAGTCGTCTCTTTGTTGTGGCCCTGTGCTGGTTGCGCGATTGGTCATGCAGCAGATTGCATGATGAGAAACTTCCCATAATGAGTGGGATGCTTGCATAAATATAATGTAATGGCCATTTGACCATCCTAAGACGTAACAAAGAATAAAATATTATAAGTGTTGAAGCAGCATACAAGGAAATCATTGCACTACTTCTGCGAGTGGACAAAGACTTCTCTCTTCAGTCAGGTTTTCCCTTTGTGAGTGACTGTCTGGGAGGGATGTTAAATGGAATGCCTTGTTGCTTTGAATCTGTTTTGGTGCCGATTTTATTTTCCACTTTTAGTATGTTATTTGATTGATATTGTTATTGTTTCTTTTAAAATATTTATATACTTACTGTTTTGAGCTTTTAAATATTATCTTCTAGTGATGCAAGTGCCTTTGCTCCTTTTTAAGGTGAAAGGCAGGTTCAAAGAAACAAACAAATATCATATTTTTGTTGATCAAGAGCCAAACTATGTAACATTTTTTTAGCATAGGCAGCAGCCAGGGGCAATTTACAACAGAAAAGTAGTTTGATATCATAATTTTCATTGGGAGCTTACTATAGAGTGGAGGTCCACGGTTGTTGTTTTTTAAAAAAAAAACAGTGCCTAGGTTAAACACACGTTTAAACATACAACTAACATCATGCGAAGTTTGGCCCAGAGAGTCTGATTTCACTGGTATAAATCGGTTTGCTAATCCCAAATGGAGTAGACCGAATGGTTTAATGTTTGGTAAATCAGTGAAAATCCCATTGATTCAATTGATCTACTCTGGTTGTTGCTAGCAGTTGGCTTTAGGTCATTACATTTGTGCTTTTGTGCAGGATTAGACAAAAGTCTAACTGTGGGAATAGATATATCAGAATACTACGAAGAAGAAATGCATTCATCGCTAGGCTTAAAGTTCTAGCCAGAGCATAGGAGGAGTCCTGGCATAATACTGCATTTAACTCCCTTTTGTCATTATATGAACTACATTTAGGAAGACAGTCTCAAGTGCTGATCTTTGCATTGTGAAGCAAAGAAGGACACTTCTTGTGACCTTTCTTGCTTCACAAAATGTACTCGGAGACTGAGAGTCAAGATGCCAACATTTCCCCCTGATGGCTGTTCTGTGCAAAATGATAATGATTGCACTAATCATCATCATGATCTTGGAACTGCAGAGCTGGAAAGGACGTTATGGAGGCACAGTGGGAGACTAAACTCCCAGCCTCTGGCTCCACAGCCAGATACTTAACTACTGAGCTGTCCAGCAGTTCTAGATAACTAGTCCATGGCACTACTCCAGAGTTTATGAAACTTTGCCGCTGTGACTATGATTTACTGCTCTCTCTCTGTCTCTCTCTCTTTCTCAACTGCTACATTGTACAGGCCATGTTCTAATGGTACAGTGGGAGACTAAATTCCCAGCCTCTGGCTCCACAGCCAGATACTTAACTACTGAGCTGTCCAGCAGTTCTAGATAACTAGTCCATGGCACTACTCCAGAGTTTATGAAACTTTGCCGCTGTGACTATGATTTACTGCTCTCTCTCTGTCTCTCTCTCTTTCTCAACTGCTACATTGTACAGGCCATGTTCTAATCAAGAAAAAAACACATTATCTTGCATAACAGAAACAAGAATCTAAGATGTGCCTTTTGCCATTGAAAGCACTCTTGTACTCAGCCAAAGCAGCAATACCTGGAGCCCAAATGTGGAAAACCTCTTTTAAAGCACTTTGGGGAGGAAATGCACTTAGGCAAAAGGCCTGAAAAATGTAATTACTTAACTGACTGTTAGCACTGGCAACCAGTATTAATCTCACATATGAAAAAAACTCTTCATCTGAACATGTTTTTGTCTTTAAATCTGTGGGGAAACCATTCATTGTTCTTTCTTCCTTTTTTAAAAAGGGCAAAGCATTCACATCGGTAATGTTCACACTTACATTTCGAATCTCTCTGAATCTGTCAGCCAGGATGTTCAGTGGCCATGCTAGCTAGGTGATTTTTGAATTTGTAGTCCAAAAGATTTAAGAAAGAACAACTTTTCCCACCTGCAGTAGCTGGCTAGGCACTGTGTTTTATGGTCATGCCTAGTCTTAAAGATCCAGGTTGCTTGTCTTTCCAGAGCAATTGAATGGGTGGTTGTTGTGGGTTTTTCGGGCTCTTTGGCTGTGTTCTGAAGGTTGTTCTTCCTAACATTTCTCCAGTCTCTGTGGCCCGCATCTTCAGAGGACAGCACTCTGTGCTCTGATGCCGGCCACAGAGACTGGCGAAATGTTAGGAAGAACAACCTTCAGAACACGGCCAAAGAGCCCGAAAAACCCACAACAACCATTAGATCCCGGTCGTGAAAGCCTTCGCAAATACATTGAATTTGTGTTCATTTGCCATTTCCACCTTTTTTTCTTAGCCTTTGCCTTGGCGCTGAGTTCCTGGGAGGATGAGCCAGCAGGATGGAGAGCAGTCCAACATCTCTCATTCTCTTTTTGATGCCTTTGTCCATGCTAAGCAGTGCAAAGAAGTGCTCAGCAGTTTTGAAGCACTGTGTAGACATCTGGGCCTGGAACACACTGGAAGGATCCAGTTCTATCATGAGCTTAAGTCTAGCCTCAACTATTGGAGTGCCAAAGCTTTGTGGACTAAGTTGGACAAGAAAGCTGGGCACATAGTCTATGATCAGGGGACAGCATGTGCCAACACTAAGGTAAGGAGGCAGAACATGGTTGCTATACAATGTTCAGATTGTGGCTAACTTAAATCAGCATGTCATGATGGAGCTTTCTTCATAGATGATCATGGCTCAGTTTTTAGTAGTCTATGGTTGCTGCAGCCTAACCCAAGAAGGTACTGACTTATCTTGTTTCTGTGGAGTGAAAACATTAGTTCTCTGTGTGCATTGCTGTGATGTTTTATTATAACTTCCTGGTTCTTTGTTTACAGATGTTGGTGGGTATTTTCAGTTCCTGCAGTCTTAAAAGATAATCCACACCGGTAATGCTTGTGTTTGCTCTGGTTTTTAAATATCCCCAGTGTTAAAAAAAGAAGCAAAGTTTATACATGCATACCCCATCCTGCTAAACTGTTAACCATTATTAACCACTGGCTGCTTACTCTTCCCTGAAAATGGATCCTTTGGATAGCTTTCCTTTTATCCTGGCTTCTAATTTCAAAGCCCAGCAAACCAGTGGGGTGGAGGATTGTTGGCAAGGGAGTGTTGGCAGGTGAGGGGAAGGTTTAGGCATCCCAATCCCACTTAACAATTATCTGTTCGAGGTTCTCCCTCTGCATTGGCACTTTGCTGTGGTTCATCTCATAATGTATTGATCCAACAAAGCTGGGTTAGGTCATACTGTTGCACCACACACCCTCTAATTCATGCTTGCTGGAAGATTCTGGGAGTCAGTTCAAGAAAATAACTTTTCCAGGCTCTGCATTCTGCTCTTGACTGTGGTGCTTCTGTTGTAGGGCTTCAGCATGGACTTCCTTGAAATTAACCAACTTTCTTCTCATTCATGCCAGTTTATGTGTAGGCTGAGCCTACACATAAACTGCAATTTACTTGCTATGTTTATTGATGTAAACCTGTTCCAGGCATACTTTTCACCTTGCTTTCTTTAACACAGGAGCCAAAGCCAGAGACCACCTAGCTCCTTATCCTTCTGTCATCTTCACTTTTATGTCTGTAGAGATAGTGTTCTTGTTCCTGTGGGAAGTTCTCTACATGAGCAGAAACTGTGGGAGAGCAGGGATCTTGCTCACATGGAAAACATAGGAGTGTCAGATCTTTGGAAAAGTTGCTTTCCCCATGAGGGGTGTGAGGCAAAATGTCCCTTTGCCTGCATGGTGTTATTTGATTGTGAATAACATTGAGTGAGATCAGATTATATGGTTGGGGTGCGGGAACCATGTAATCTGATGACACTATAGCCCTATCCAGACATTATTCACCCGTATAGGCATCTGGGTTAAAATAACCAATTCCTGTGTTGAAGGTGTAAAAGTGTCTAATGTTAAAAGAATAGTGGAGAGACACAGCTGAGGGAGGACTGGAAAAGAGAGGGAAAAGAGCTCTTTTTTTTAAAGCTAGGTCATGTAACATTTCCCTCTGTTTTCTTAAATGCCCACTTTAAAAAGAAGCAGAATTGTAGTAGGGAACACCGATATCTCCAGAGAGGTATCTTTCTGCACCTGGAAAGGCTGGGTCCTCTGCAGCTATACTTACCACCCTCCAGCTACTGAGGGAAGAGTGCTTCTGAGCTGCTTGTCTTGATAATCCTTAAATGTAAGTCTCGAGCCCTGGGGGCAGAGCTTAGAAGTATGTAACAGACCTTTCAGTGTCTTGAGAAATATTCCTACATCTGTAGTGACTTGTTGGGATGTAATATCTGAATGGATAGCAGCAGGCCTTGGATCCACAACAGCCTGGTGGTTTGAAATAGAGCTTTGGCAAGGGATCTTTTTGTGGGGCAGTTTTACCCGTTATGTGCTATGGTGGGATGCTGTGGGAGCTGACATCTCAAACGTCTGGAGGGCTACAGGCCCCCTAACCTCTGGCCAAGAATGAACAAGTAGTCATTATACAAATAGAGAAGAAGACTCCATGTGGCTCCAGCAAGTTTTATTAGGCATCTACTTTTCTTGTCTGCGATCCACTTTATTAGACTCCTCTGAGGAAATGTATGAAAGCATATACAGAATTGTCGGTCTTTAAGAATCCAGAAGACACATTAAAACAAAATTATTCAACTTTACTGATGCTTTTCTTTTGCTCTGGTCTCCCTTATGCTTTTAGTGTAATAAAGATGCCAAAAGATTCTTTGCTGTTCTTTTTCTGCACTGGACAACTGCTTCCTTTGAAATGCCAGTTCTGAAATTCCCAGAAGCCAAAAGAAAGCCCATTGTTGTAATTAGTACAGTATTGAAATGTCCTTCTTGCCTGCGAGGAGAAAAGCTGTCAAGTGTAGAGGCACTCAGGGCTATCCTTCATCCTCTTCATCATACTGTAGTGGCAGCTCTGATGTCATGCTGTAGAGCAGTGGTTCTTAACCTTTGAAATGCCAGTTCTGAAATTCCCAGAAGCCAAAAAAAAAAAAAAAGTATGAGGAAGCCCATTGTTGTAATTAGTACAGTACTGAAATGTCCTTCTTGCCTGCAAGGAGAAAAGCTGTCAAGTGAAGAGACACTCAGGGCTATCCTTCATCCCCTCCATCATACTGTAGCGGCAGCTCTGATGTCATGCTGTAGAGGTGCGTTGGGTGGCTGCAGTAGAGGCAGCTGGGGCCACAGCTCCCAAATCCAAACATGGTGTCCCTTCTCACTCTGATTCCAAAATGACTGCCTGTTTAATGACTTTTCCAGTGCCTGATCATTGGGGCAGGCCCCTGTGGTCTCCGTTCTGCAATTGAGCTGGCCTTTCTTGGAGCCCAAGTGGTGGTGGTAGAGAAGCGAGACACCTTTTCCCGGAACAATGTGCTGCACCTTTGGCCTTTCACCATCCAGGACGTGCGGGCCCTGGGAGCCAAGAAATTCTACGGCCACTTCTGTACGGGCTCCTTGGATCACATTAGTAAGTACATCCAGAAAGATGGAGAAGGACAGGGAGGGATAACAGCCTATTAATGGGGAGCCAGTGCCAAGAGCACAAAAGAACAAAACCCAGGAAAATGACTATTTGGGACTACAACTCCCAGAATCCCCTGACTGTGTTGACTCAGGTGATTCTACAAATTTTCATCTCATTTTTAAGAAAGCAATATTGCTAAGGTTTGCAAGTCATCATGGAAAGGTAAGGAGGGCCCAGTTATAAATTTTTACCAGATGCATAAAGAGTTTAACAAAAGGACAGCAATAAATTCTAGTGCCTTTTAAAGACCAAAGATGCTTCATTATTTTGAAGCAAATGTCGCATAACTGTTCGCTGAATGGCATTGTCCACAGTTTGATGGACAGCATAGAAAATACCCCATCAGTGCTAAAACTGTAGAAAAACTGGCCATTCCTATTGGCACCAGTTCAGGAAGAATGGTAGTTGATAAGATGAATAAGTAAATGATTTGTCAGGGGACGTAAGTAGAATAACACAGCGTGCCAAGCAAGATGTCACCAGAGAAATGTGTTGCCCTTCAGATCCCCATATATTTTCTAGCACTAACGGCAGGCTTTCTCTGCTTTGAGCACTTTTAGCTTATTAGGGATAAGTTATTGCTTATTGTTGCCTTTTGCCTTCCCATTGCTTCTTCCTACAAAACAGTGCCCTACTGTGCCATAGTATGTCACTCTTGGAAGCTTAATACCTTCCTTGCTAAAACCAGAAGAGCCCCTGGATTTCCCAAACCATTACCCTGGCAGGGTTAACATGAGATTGGCTGTTTTGGAGACAACAAAGAAGGTGGTAGGAGGTTAGAGCTACATCTAAACCATGGGGAAGGATTTGCGGCCGTCCAGATTTTATTGCACTGGAATTCCCATGATTCCTGGAATTGCAGTCCAGGAACATCTGGAGGGCCAGTCGTCCAGATTTTATTGCACTGAAATTCCCATGTTTCCTGGAATTGCAGTCCACGAACATCTGGAGGGCCCCAGGTTGCTGCCCACTCCTGATCTGAAGGCAAGGACTGCTTGGAACAAGCTATGAAAGGGGCATGGATGGGGTTGCTTTAAGCCAGTTCTTATTGTTCCCTTCTTCTCTACCCGCAGGTATCCGCCAGCTGCAGCTCATCTTGCTGAAAGTCGCCTTACTTTTGGGGGTTCAGATTCACACCAATGTGCAGTTCAAAGGGCTTATTCCTCC